AAAACTTTGATCTTTAAAGGATAGTTGGACAAGTGATGGCCATTAAACTTCATCAATGCATAATTTGTATAAATTCACATAACTGGTTTAGTTTGCAGTGAAATACCAATTTAATGGACAAACCCTTGATTTGGTAAACATTATTAAATAGGAGTGGGGTCCAGAAGAAAAAAAATATCTATAGTATCTAGAATCTGTGAAGCTGCAGTCCATTAAACCAAGAATTTACTGTATACAATACAGTCGAACATGCACACTATCCAATTTTCTTCTTTGATCTTTCTACGAAAATAATTAAAGTATCAGCAGCCAAGTAGAACATTTAAATATCCAAAAGCTATTTAGATTTTGTAATACTGAATGATCATTAAGATGGAAAGTTCCTCAAAGATAATCTAGCCTACCCCTGCAGGAAATCCACTACTATACAGAGAATAATCAAATTTCAAGCAATGCGTTAAGAAAATATCTACAAGTTTATTGGGGGGTGGGTGGGTGGAGGGGCCTGTTCAGTGATTCAGGTTCAAAGGAAATTTGTATTTTAGACTATGTGTGGCCAAGAACATAACATCTATCAGCAAATTGGCCTCAAGAAAAGAGATAGCTAATGTAAAGAAGTTGCTAAGTATGTTAAATGAATGCCTCCATGCTCTGAATACCATTTTCCCCTCTAATCTGAATCACTGCACAGTCTATTATCTATACCTCAACTTTCCAGTTTAGAAAAGACACTTAGCCTATGCAGATCCACTAATCTATTAAGATAATCCTTTTCCAACTACTGTCCAATGGGAAAGGATCTTGCACCAGTGGTTTTACTTAAGCAGTGGTAAACTTTTCTGAAATAAAATTAAAATGCTTAAATGTAATACTTGATAGGACCATGCATACTCAAAAATACCATTTTTTCCTTGTAACTGAAAATATGTTGCTGCAGCTATATATCTATATATACTATATATAGCATAATGCAATATGCCAGAGGTCCCCAACCTTTTGGGCAGCAGGGACCGGTTCCATGGAGAGAAGTTTTCCCCCAGACTGGAGAGTGCATGGTTTCATGAGCTGCCTACAACCCATGGATGGGGCTTTGCTTGTTTGTGTGGACCGGTTGCTGGCATGCCGTGGCCCGGAACCAGTCCACGGACCGGGGGTTGGGGACCCTTGCAATATGCTTTGTAACATAACTGTAATGGCAATCTTGCTTAAGTGCTGAATAATTTATTTAAAATTTTATTTAAAATTAACTTTTACTTTTCTAACTAATGAATTGCCTACGTTTAAAAAAGACTCTATGATTGCTAACAAAGGCCACAAATCATGTAGAATGTACAGAATTCTTGATGCATTCGAAGAAAAATGACATGCTAGAATGAGAGTTTCTCACACGGCAGGCACATCTTAAACTGAAGCACCGTGGGTTTGTTTGGGACTTCCCTGAGTGCTTCTAGCAAGGAAGTCCTCTTCTAAATCAGCTACTTTTGTTAAAGGCAATTACTACAGTCTACCTAACTTACCAAAAATTATTTGGAATATATATGCGTATGTCTTGCTTCCTTGATCTGTGAACATTCAGTTTTGTAGAGCAGAATGTACATTTTCATCAGACTGAGGGTTACAATAGTATAGACCTTTCACACTTTTCTTAAATTCAAATACCATTAACCCAACCTTTCCACTGGTCCTTTCACTTTGAACAAACATAGTGGGCTACAGTGGTAATAATTTATCAGCACAAAGCAGCCATGTAAGCCACTTAAATATCTCCATGGTACTAATAAGAGTAATATTTTAATAAAGGGAGGATTTAAGAGGAGTATTCAATGTTTTAGACTATTTTCTAAAGTGCCAGAAATAATTTTAAAAAATCTTTTACCTTGGAGCATCTCACATCAAGAAACTTTCCTTTCCATCAGATATAAGTAAATTACATAGGAGAAAAGACTACAGAAGGTTTTTTTGTGTGGTTCCACCAGCCTCAAATGCTTACAGAAGAATTTGGCTTTGCCCTAGTCTATAACATCTATACATATGGCTTAAGGTACAAAATAAAAGACTGCCACAAAAGTACTGTTTATATAGTTCCTAAGCCTAATTGTATATCCTATTCTAATAGAATTTTGCTGTTTTTTTTATAATTCCATTTTTTTTAAAAAGACTTGATTGTATGAAAGAATATGAAAAGAAATACAACTAATTTAGTACTGAATTTCCAAATCATACTGCAGGCCTAACATTTTCCTCTAAAAAAGGAGGAGAAAGAATTGGATGTCCGAATGCAGAACTAAACAAATGCCTTCATTTTTCAACATATGGCAACTTACTGAAAACAGAGCTTTATTCCTCTAAATTATTTTAGAATCTTTCTAATAGTCTCAGAAAACATCTGCTCTCCCCGGTGACTACCAAAGTCTCTTCCAATCTGGCAGAAAAAATGCAAGTGGAAGACTAGCTACAGAGGTCAGGTAGATGCAGGTAGGAAATGGAAAAAATCCAAAAACAAAACAAGCTGGCAACAAGAAACATTTTCCCATCAAAAATATGCTTCCACATTAATCTGTTTAAACAAATGCATAAAGTCGTACCTAAAAAACTTACATTGTCATCGCAGTGCTACAAGTACAACGGTAAGATGCAAAACTTCTGCAATGAGACAAAAACTCTCTCAAAGGCCAAAAGTTATCTTTTTTAAAAAAAAAAAAGCTTGGTTTATCATGGTATTAGCTCTAACCAAGAATAAAACAATGACTAGAAATAAGTGGATACCCAAGCACAAGAGTTGTATAAATATACAAAGAACTCCTTCTACAACCTAGTTCCATTCAATTATGAATGGATTAGCCATCTATTATGGTGGCCATAGAATTCAAGAGCACTTTTTTTTTTAACAGGATGGTAAAGTGCTTTCTAGCTTAATGGATACTTGTGACATTAGTTTCATAGTATAACAACTTGTATCATACGGGGATCAAACTGTGTGACCTAAAAACATTTTGTGTTTCCCAGATAATCATCTAAACAGATTGTATTCAGACACCATGCAAGTAAAGAAAAATCTATAACTCTATATGTAGTGAAAAATATGGAATGGGGCAAAAGTCAATATAGGCCTTAAAATGCAGTTTATGAAAGCAAAGACGTATTTAGAAATATGGGCAATTATACAATATTATGCAGTTCTAAAAACAAGGTTAAAAGCAGTTGAAAGGAGCATTTAATGTAGTCTTATCTTCTAAGTTTAGGGTTAGGGTTCTTACACTCTGCTGAACATTGCACTTAGTTTGTTGGACTTGATGCATTCCACAGCACCTACCAATTACAAATTCCACCAAGAATTTTCTGCTGCCGTTATTAATGAAGAACCATTAATATGCCCAGGAAAGCAGAACAGAAACATAAACAATCTATAAATTTTATTTAAAATGTGATAAAATTGGACCTCTCTATCCCAACTTGATGAAAGGATACAGTTTATTTATGGTACAAATAAAGCACTATTAATAAGAAATAGAACTCTAAAGAGAAAAATTAAGCAAGAACTACTGGAACTGGTCAGCTTAGTAAAGACCAAGAATCGTTTGCTTTGCAGAGTAAGTTTCACAATATTGTGTTTCCATCGATCAAAGTCTAGAAGAACAATATGAAGAACTTCCTCAAACGAGTTTATCATCAGTCTACATAATAGCCAACTTGTTAATGAAGCCAACTGATTTTATAATGAAAAGTTAAAAACAGTCACCAAGATTCATGGAAAAAAGAACTTGCACAGTTACATGAAATGTGGCTTTGCAATAACTTTAAATTTCTGGTTTTTCAAGCCCCTTCATTTGCAGAAGAGTGGATTCGTTTACAGCATGCTACAATACCTTGAATGAACAGTCTTTTTGTAAATGGAATACATCTGCTATATACAAATGCACTTTGAGGTCTTAACTGTACAACCCAAAATAAGCAGCAGAGATATTAGCTAAAGGTAGACCTTTACTCCTAGTGATGTCATCTATGCATCCATGTAGTTTTCTTTGGACCGAGAACATCCTTCTGCAATGTTTTTTTCAACTGCCCAGTCTAACATGCAACCATGGTGTTTATTTATTTACTGTAGATTAAATGCTGCTCCTATTAAGAGACTCCAAGCAGCTTACCATGCATCTACAGTAATAAAATCACAAACCATTAGACCTAGCAAACACCCATGGCATACTCTTCTGACCTCAGGAACAGGTGTCTACATCTTGGGGAGTACTTTAACATTCAATCTCTTTCCCTTCTGAGGAACACTTTTTCTTCTGTCTGCAGGAGAGTTATTCTAAAGAAGATATTCCCTGGAGGTCTCCTGGCCAAGTACAAACCATGGCAGGCCCTTTTGGGCCTAGATAAAGTTGGCCAGATGCTGTCACCTTCTAAGACAATGTTGGCTTAGTTTTACTCAAATAGTTGATGCAAAACCAACATTTCTCTTAAGTTATGTATATTGGTATCAGGCTAATAAGGCCTTCCAGATGAAGACTTCATCAGACCGATAACTCATAAGGGTCTACTATTCATATGTACCAATGATCTGGCTCTGAAATTAGAAAAAGAATCTACAACATTTAATAAAACCAATAAAGATAATTTTTGATCCCCATCAAATTATTTATGGGCCATGAATAAAATGCTTACTTTAAGGGTCAGGATCAGAATTCACTGACACTGCCACAAAGACACCATAAATTTCTAAGTATTGATAAGAACTTAGAAGTACTTACTACTAATAAGTTTATTAATTCTCCATTCAAATTATATGAAGAATGATCAAAGTCAATGCAAAATTATTAGACTTACCCTATTTTGTAGAACTATGCTCTCAACTCAGTTCTGATACATTTCTGTGTTAATTTTGTTTTAATTCTATGGGTCTTGTTGACAAACCCAGGAAAAAAAAGTTTTTGTTAAGTCAATCTCATTTAAATCTTTGGCCACCCATTTCTTAATTTATTATCAACAAGCATACTTACGGTTGACATAGCTTTACTAAGTCCTGGTCAGTGGTATTTGGAGGCAGCCCTCTGATATACAGGTTTGTTTTACTTAATTGATCCCATCCTGAGTTGCTGCTGCTGCTGCTGTTGTTATTGCTGCTGGTGATACTGGGGCTAGGAGGAGCCATTGGATGGGCAGGCACAATGGGCTGCTGCAAAATGAAAGGAAGAATGTTTCAGAAGGGACAATAAGGATGAAGACATACTAAGAAAACCTTGAAGCCTCTTAAAAGAACATAGACATTCTCAGAACCCTGAATTTCATGGAGCCGTGGCTTTACATTCCAAATATTCTTGCTTTCCAAGTATTTACAGGTTTTGCAGTACAAATACAAGTCCATCTCACAAGGGACTTCATCATTCCAAATCCTGGCACGGAGTACTCAGTATTTTCTCTAACTTTTGATATAGCGCAAACAAAATATATTTCTAAGGAGTTTAACTGAGTTTTAATCCTCTGGAAGTGAAATCTCAAAAATAAACTTTATGCATGTCCTATAGCAGTGGTGGCGAACCTATGGCACGCATGCCAGAGGGGGCACTCAGTGCCCTCTCTGTGGGCATGCGCGCCGTTGCCCCAGCCCCGCCTCCCCCCGCCGCCCCTTCCTTACCAGCAGCACCCTGAGAGGAGAGTCACCCCCAGGCACGGCCTGCACAAAGCAGCATAGCCAAGGACATGGCAGCTGGCCAGCGGGGACAAGACTCCATCCTCGCGCCCCGTCATGTGCAGATGATGCTGCGGGGTGCGGGCGGAGGGCGTGGCCACGGCACTGCAAGGCTGCCTGGGCGATCTGCGGCAGGCCGTGGAGGCGGTGGGTGGCCCTGCGGGCGGGCAGGGGGCAGAGCAGGGGTGGGGGGCAGGGCGGGGGCAGGTTTTGGGCACTTGGTCTCTAAAAGGTTCGCCATCACTGTCCTATAGCAACATTACTGTTCTTTCTCTGCAGCATAAAGAGAACTTCAACCATTCTGCATTGCTCATAAATTACACTATGCAGTACTCTTCTAGTGTTAAATCAGAAAATAAACAGGTGAAAAATACAGACAAGTTGTGATTAGTACTTCCACGAAAAATAATTTCTTAGTACTTCCAGAAGCTGGCTTGGCTATTAAAAGAAAGTGAACTGAGAAACCTTTCATTACATTTGAAACAGAGCTATTGACCTTGATGTTTTCACAGTCTATCTTATGCTAACTTAAGAAATTCATCTATCTTGTTTATAAGAGACCCTTTGAAAAGACTGAGAGGACGTTCTTCTGGTCATACACAAATACAATACTCTCTACTATTAATTAAAGCAGACAGATTCTTTTTCAGGCTTCATCATGGGTTAAAAGAAAATATATTGTTTTGATTAAAGCCAATACAAGTCTTAAATAATGCTTACAGCTTAACCTATAGTCTAGTGATTTCTTGATGATTTCTCATATAAGCACTAACCAGCTCTGGCCCTACTTTTTTGTGAAATTAAAACAATTGAGCAAAATAAAAAGACAAGAATGATCAAAAGGTAAGAAGCAGACTCTATTCTGACCTATTATGTTGCTGAATGGAATATATTCTAAACTTAGAAAAGAATAATCCTGAGACATTCATTTTAAGGTACATTTTAAAAAGATGCGAGAGAAGAAAATTATAGTTTTACTTATTTGAAAGTATTTTCTCCTCCAAAGTACCTTCTTTAAATATGGAACAGAAAAAGAAAAAAAGAAAAAAAATGTGGTCAATAACTACAAAGTCAGTTTCATGTCTGATTCATTGCTTATCTTTGAATTATTTGTAGCTTGATTAGATTCAAAAGGCTATGCAAGAAAAATATTTCAGTACAAAAAAAAGGTCAAGATACAAACAGCGTTTTCCAAATTCTCCACTATGGAAGAAGATACTAATATTCTCAAACTGGAAGCTGAGATTTCCTGCCTGCCCCAGCCATTCTCCAGCACTGGAGATGGAGGATCCACAGAATGGGTGGAGACTGTATTCCTGCCCAATCAGATCAAGTCAGCCAAAGTTGTCACGCCCCGTCCTGGTTCCATTTCCCAGTCTTGACTTGATCTTGCCCATGGACAGAACGTACAACTCTGGCTCTTAGGTACAGTCTAGACTTTGTGGATCTTCCATCTCAAC